AGACATCCCCCCCTACAACCCCGCAGAGAAGGGAGGAAAGATTACTGGTCCCCTCCCTCTCCGCTCGATCTGTGATTTCAGATAACAGACTCGGGGGTCTCTCTCTCTCCTCACACAACAAGAAAGATGGTAGCGGGGTCTATTTGTGGCGGGAAGGAAGATACTTGGTGAGGAAAGAGGCGGGGGTCGGAAGACGCGCCCGGGGGGCTGGGCGCTCTGAAACGAGGGGCCGGACCTCTGTGTAAGCGGGTCTGGGTCTTCACAAACTAAAGCTTTCTGAGTTGAGCGGGTTTTTTTTATATATAAGAGCGCGCTGTCTCAGCCGCCCCATCTGGAAGTGAGGACGCTGCACTAGCCATCCCTGCGGTCTCCGCCCGTGGGATGGGGTGGGGTGGGGTGGGATGGGGTCGGGTGCGATGGGGTGGGAGGGGGTCGGCGCGCGTCCGCTCACCTGCCAGAGCCGCGCCGCAGGTGGTGATGAGCACGGCGGCGAGCACCCCCGGCGAGGGCGCGCCGTTCTTGAGCACCAGCACGCCGATGAGCATGGTGACCAGGGGCAGGCAGCGCTTGAAGACCACGTACATGGGCAGGCTGAGGCCGCGCAGCGACCAGAGCGTGAGGCTGGACTGCAGCGTGGAGAGCACGGTGACCCCCGCGAAGGAGCGCGCCAGGCTCAGGCCGAAGGGGGGCACCGCGATGAGCCCGAGGCGCCGCAGCAGCTCCAGGCTCAGCGCCGCCGTGGAGCTGGTCAGGCACTGCACCAGGGTCAGGAAGGAGAACCGGTAGTGGCTGAGGAGGAACTTGAGGAGGATGTTGAGGGAGCCCGAGAAGACCCCGTGCGCGATGGCCACCGAGATGCCCAGCAGGCGGCCCCGGCACAGCTGCCGCATCGCGCCCGCTCCGCCGCACCCGGCGGTGGAGGACCTGCGGGAGGAGAGCCGGGAGGAGGGCCGGGAGGCGCGCGGCGAGGGCGGCGCGGGTGCCAGCCCAGCGCCGTGGGCGAAGGGCAGGGGGCCCCACGGCACGGCAGGGGGCGCCGGCTCCGCCGCGGAGAGCAGCTGCAGCCAGGCGTCCTCGCGGCTCGGTGGCTCCGCGTCCGACTGCCCCGCACTCGGCAGTGACGGGGGCGGAGGACTCCGAAAAGTGGCGGGGTGGGGGGGCTGGTCTGAGAGGAGTGGCGGGAACCCTAGCGACAGCAGTTCGTAAGGAGGTGACGAGCTGCAGTGGGTTGTGTCCCGCGCGGGTTCACCGTCAGGGAGAACACCGAGGCTGGAAGCGCGGGCAGCTGCCGCCGCAAGCGGACGGGACCCGCGCCCCTCCGGCACCCAGCGCCCACGCCAGCGGGCTCTAAGGGGTGCTGCCCCCTCTCCCCCAGCAGGGTCAGCTGCTCCT